TTTGCCGGATAGAGACAAGAGAAGCTATGAGGTATAGTGTGAACTTAGCCTAAGGGCGCTTTCCAAAAGTCAGAACTGGCTGGCCGGACCATGGCCAGACCATCATTACCATGGGAATGGGCTGGTCGGTCAGTTCTGACAAATGGAAAGCACCCTAAGTGAGAGACAGCGGAAAAGCTGGGGTCAATATTTCCAGCGATTCCTGACTTAGTAATCATTGAACATGTGTGGCAGTGTTTCAAGAATCTGTGAGAACAAAATCATTTTGTTCTATTCCTAGGATTTCACTCAACTAAATAGGGACTGTCATTGGTTGATTCTTGGTCACGTGGCCTTGACTAAAATCAAATGTATCCCGATCGTGATACGTGAAGCAATGTACCCCGCTAGGGCTACATTACAGCACGTGATCAAAGCATGGTGGAAAGTGGTATGACGTCAGGAGCTGGAAAAACACTGCCTGTTTTTTTTTTTCGTGAATGAACACAACAACTCGAACGCAAAAACGAAGCCTCAAGCTAAAAAGCAACCATTTTTAAAATCATCCTAGAAGAGAAACAACAGCTACTGGAGGAAAAAGATGCAGATAATATATGGAAAGTATACTAAGAATTAAACTTGTGTTGTTATAAGTACCAAGTCGACTGTTTTGGTTCACTCCGGTTATTCTTTTGTTGCTGTTGAAGTGAAAGTCTAGAAATACAACAAAACACTTAATGTCAGGTCCCTCGGGAAAGCAGTTAGTTTTGTTTTCCTTCGAGTAGTGATGTTTCCCTCGACTTCGTCTCAGGAAACATCAGGACTCTCGGGGAAACAAAACTAACTGTTTCCCTCGGGATCTGACATTAAGTATATGATATTTCACTCAAGCTTTCATATTTTCTTCTTGAAAAACGTAGAACATGATATACTTTTAATAAGGAGTAAGGGAGTATCTCAGGACAGTCATGACTACTATGATTAAGTGCTCAATGAATTCGGTCTTTATGCATAGCTTACACCGCGATTTCTTTAGGGCAATGCCCGTCTTGTTTCATTGTTTTGTCAGGAATTCGAATCCAATATCCTCTGTCCTTTGTCCTAAGACAAAAAACAGTACATTGCTAAGAAGCAAATCAGATTAGTCCAGTCATTTGTGGAAAAAAGAAGGTCAACCTAGAACTAATTGCAACAGAAGATATTCCAACTGTTTTAGACACAGAAAACTTTCCTAAATAACATATCAAAAGTCCCAAAAAGTCCCAGCAGTTGCTTAAAAACAGGATTAATTGAGAGGATTGGCCTCTTTAATCTTTTTCTGCTTTAATGGACTATCTACTTGAGAAAATACTAAATAATGGGGTCCATTGAACGGTCATCGTCGCTTTTGGATTTAGCATACGGGCCTTTTGAATACAAATTATTTTTTACTTTAGTTGTGCAGGTGCATATGAAACTTAAAAACAATGCCGATGAATAATGAGGACGCCCACTTTTTAACGAAAAATCTGTGGGGGGGGGGGGGATTTGTGACACTGGAAGCACAATTTAATTGCCTTCCTTGTTTTCAATGTCCTTGAAACTCGGAGGCAATATAAATTGACGATTAACCTCGGAATTGCCAAGTTTTTGAAAAAATTTATCAAGCCGTTTCTAAACTACCGTGAAATTTGTAGACGTGGACCAAAATGCATAAAAAAATTGTAACAAAAGCAACTGACCGCAGGCTAATCAAATTCTTCTTTCTCGAAATAGGCCAAGGCGATCCCCCTCTTTTTTCTTACACAGTTTCAAACGGAATCAAACCACTATAAGACGAAACTAATTTTTCGGACCTCATCATTTTCTTTAGGTCGATTGCATGGTTATTTACTGTTTTTGTGACCACTAAAAATTCGCTCCAAAATATTTCCAAAAGTTTCGAGGCAGTGAAAGGAGGTACAAGCTTCCTTAGCGATTTTCGAAAAAACGTCCTGGTACCGAGAAATACAAGGGCAAGTATAAAACGTAGTATAAAACGTAGTATAAAACGTTGCCGTGGTAACTACGATGTCAATGAAACATGAATCGTAACAAACTTTTCGTCTCTATACAATACAGCTGTGGTAAATTTTTTCCGATATTTTTGTTAACGCTGACGTAGTAAATGCTCAAACTTGAGAGGTATTTTAAAAAACCAGTCGAACCAACTTAGATGTTTAGATTTAACAAAGTTAGCTGTCTAATTACCGTGTAAATTATATTTACTCAGCTTTAATGTCTTTTCAGCACCGTTACTTAGTTTAAAGTTGAGGCGATTTGAAACCTCTTTACCCTTGATATTAATTCAAGATGGCGGATCCAAGATGGCGGTGGTCCGAAAATAATGTTATTGCCGCGTTATTATCACTTGACCTATTCTGAATTTACAGACTTCCGTGTCTACTATTGACTCCCTGATTTTTATTGTCGTAGCTTAAATCCTGTTGAAGCTATAGAGGGAAGAAGAAATCACGGACAGGTCCTAGGGAAACAAAAATGCCCGTAATGAATGGGATTAAATATTTCAATGTTCCCATGCTCGAATTTTTTGGGACTTTTAGTATGTTTATCCATAATCTAATCCTAAATGATTGGCGAAGAGAAAGCTCCTGTTGCAATCATCCGAAACGACCACAAAATGACTGGACTATTACTAACTAAATCAACTTTATTTGCCTGATGTTTCTTCAAAAAAAAGGTATGTGTTTTCTAGTGAATGCAAAAAGATTACTTGTCCAGAAAACTTAATATATGATTCATATACCACCAATCCTCTATAACCCCCCCGGAGGGAGGTTATTTAGTTCAAACACGTTTGAAGGGGAGGGGCTTATTTGAGAAGGAGGATCATTTAATTTAGTGAAGATTGTGGTATCAGCTCCCTAAAAAGAACTAAAATACAAAGCTCAAGAACAAGAAGTTGGAGGTCATGCCATTCAGCCGAGGATCAAAAACAGAGCAGAACTTCTGACAAGTGAATATACCATCCCAGATCAGTTCAAATGAAGTTTTACAGTCGTGATTGATTAATACGGTCTATCATTTATTGATGAAGAATAATAAGGGGGAGGGAAAGGCAGGCTTTTAAACTTGCTTTCCCTGAAAACGGGAGCTCATTAGAAGGGAGAAGGGGCGCATTTGAGAGAGGGGGCTTAATAGAGGATTTACGGTAATACCATGAATCAAGAACTGAATATTATTGCATATGTGACTTTCTAAAAATAAACTGCCCTTAAATATAAATAGAATTCACTTCACGCCTTTTCAAACAAAGAAAAAAAGACGTTACTGAATGAAATGTCAATAATAATCGATGGTAAAGAAATCGATAAAGGAAAAAATTGATGAAGAACTTACATGGAGGCATCATATCAATCAGGTCATCATCTTTGATATCCAAATTAAATGTTGTGACCCCGGTTCCTCGAAAGATAGTCAAGTTTAACTCAAGATTAAGCCAATTTTTAAGCACGGTTTTCTTATCAAAGAAGATATAACTTAAGCTTACAAAATACCATTGAGCCTTTACTCTGACATACAATAATGACTTACACAAAATGTTTTTCTAAGCAATGCATAGGAAGGTAAATACAAAAAGTAGAACGAAATAGGTCATTTGCACGATGGCGTCATTTTACTACTACTACCAGAATCCTTCAGGGTATTGCTTTCTTGTGCAAAATAAGGCTTTGTTATTTAAACCTCACTGGGACTACCAAATTTTAAATTTGGTCTTTGTCTGGTCTTAGTAGTAAAAAGACGTCATCGTGCAAATGGCCCATTTAATCCTGGATTAGTGCTAATCGGCCTTTTAGGAACCGGGTCTAGGAGTAAATGCAAATTGAAAAGCGAGACATTACATATACTTTTCTCTCAAAACCCTCATTATGATCTATAATACATTTTACAATAACTGAGCGAATCCTCGCGCGCTGATTGGTCGAGAGCTATGTTGTATGAGAGTATAGACCAAGGAAATGACGTAACATGTCTCGTAGTGCCGGTTGTTTTGTTCTTGTTTTTTCGTAAAAAATACTGAATATATTGATATGGCAGTATTTTCTAGCTTATGATATTTTACTATATGAGCTACATGGTTTTGTCTCAGACGAGAATTTATATTTCCAGGAAGACAACACGGTTTTCTTATCAAAGAACACGTAACTCAAGCTTACAAAATTACTATTGAGCCTTTTACTCTGAGATACAGTAATGATAACCTAAAATGTATTTCTAAGCAATACATAGGAAGGTAAATACAAAAAGTAGAACGAAAAATAATCCTGGATTAGTTCTTATCAGCCTTTCAGGAACCGGTGCCAGGAGTAAATGCAAATTGTAAAGCAAGGCATTACATATGCATGAGCGAATCCTCGCGCGCTGATTGGTCGAGAGCTATGGTGTATGAGAGTATAGACCATGGAAATGACGTAACATGTCACGCAGTGCCGGTTGTTTTGTTCTTGTTTCTTCGTAAAAAAATAATTGTTATTGTAAAAAACAAATCGACCTCAATTTTCCATGGTCTACACTCTTATAGACCATAGAAATGACGCCATAAAATGTTCAAAACCTGGCAGTTTTGAACATTTTATGACGTCATTTCATATATTGATATGGCGAGTATTTTCTAGCTGATGATATTTCACTATATGGGCTACATGGTTTTGTCTCAGAAGAGAATTTATATTTCAAGGAAGGCAAAAAGAAGCGTTTACGTTGACAGATATAAAATGAGTGTTTCAAGCTGGAAGCAGAAATCAAAAGGAGGGATTGAAACATATTAATTAGGTGCTAATTAAATCCCACTTCGATATCAAGCAATTATACAAGAATTTCGTGATATTATTAACCGGACTGAAATGGCATCGTTATTCGTGTAATATATACATTCCTGAAAAAAAGCTGCTAGAAGCTGTATACTTAGTACAAGGTTTGTTATAAAAGCTTTTTAAAAACCTGAAATATAATCTTACCGTCAAGACTGATTCAGACGTCACGGAACTACCAAGAGGATCGGGTTGAGAATTAGAAAGAAACTGAAAGCTGCTTTGTTCCACCTTGAAAAGATAAGATATGAATCAGGAAGTTTCGCCGCCTGTGCTTCGATCCTCAGTCGTCGAACAGGCGGACACGTGGGTCTAACACAAACAAAGAACACTATTAAAACTGATTGAGTTTTGCTTTAGAACGACCGTTTCTATACAAATCAAGTATAGAGGGTGAAAACGAATGTTATGAATGGACAAACTATAATTTCAACATACCTGTAAGAAAGGGCTCTGTTGTGTATTAGGACCCAGACTCCCTCTCGGTAGGACATTGTAACGCCTGACTAGGGAATCAGGAGCCACGAGTCGTGTAGGCGAAATAAAGCCATCGTCCAAGGTTGAATCCGTTGTAATCTTCCATTATTTGCCGACCAGATCGGTCACAACATTGGCGACGAGGGTAAAACAAGATCCCAAGAAGTCAGCGAGACGAACAGTTCGCGAGAAACATGGACGATAATGAACGAAACCATATCAAAACATTCGACTGTCATGGGGACCAAAACACGCTTGGCTTGCGATGGAAACGGTGGCTGACAGCTTTCGAACTATTTGCAGATGGCAAAGGCTTAATTCTAAATGAAGACAACGCGAACAACAGGCAGAGGAGACGTGCATTAATGCTCCATCTCGCGGGACCCGATGTTCAAGATATTTTCCTTACCCTGCCGAACACGGGAGATGTGAAAGATTACCGGAAAGCGGTCGATGCACTGAACGCATACTTCGCTCCCAAAGTCGACACTACGTATGCTAGACACTGTTTCAGACAGCTAATTCAAGCACCAGGGGAAACAATCCGACAGTTTGCAACCAGACTCCGACGAGCATCGAAAGATTGTGACTATGGCGAAGATACAGATAACCAAATTCGTGATGAAATCCTCTGCAAGTGCACCAGCACGTACATAAAACGAAAACTCCTGGAAGAACGTCAAGGCCTCACTTTAGCTAGAGCGCTTGAAATCGCCCAGAACTGCGAAAAAGTCGACGCACAGCTTGCTGCAATGACCATAGAGGAAAAGGGAGAGAATTCAGCTAGTGTAAACCGCATAGAGGGAACAAAGACAGGCCATGGCAAGAGAAATCAGTCACGAGGTACCAAAACCGGCCGTGAGAAAACTTGTTACCGATGTGGTAGAACCGGACATTTCGGTCGAGATTCTAACTGTCCAGCAAGAGGTAAATTCTGCCATCGATGTGGGCTGGAAGGACATTTTCAAGAGCAGTGCAGGACCAAGCAGAAAGGTGAAGAAAAGCAAAAACAAACCAAAGGCCACAGGAACCCCAAGGGAGGTGCCGCAAATATGGTTGGTTGCCACAACGAAGAAGAGGAACCAGGGTATGCTTTTACGGTAGGAGGCAGGAATGAGAAGATTGAAGTAACCGTTGGAGGTTGTAAGCTGAACATGATCATAGATTCTGGAGCAAGCACTAACATCATTGACAAGGAAACATGGGAGTGGTTGAAGAAAAACAAAGTGAAGTGCGAATCAGCTCGCTCGAGTAGGAAACTCTATGCCTACGCATCCCAGACACCACTTGATGTGATAGGAACATTCTCCTGTGAAGTCTCTGCAGGAAGCAATACTGCTAGTGCCAAATTTTGTGTGATTAATGGTGAAGGAGACCCCCTTCTGGGGAAGGACACTGCAACTAGTCTAGGCGTACTGAAAATAGGGATTGGCATCGCTGCAGTAACTGCAGACCCACAGACCATTGGTGGGATCCTGCAACAGAAGTACCCAAATGTTTTCAGCGGCGTTGGAAAGTTGAAAGACAGAGCAGTACAGCTCCACATCGACCCCAATGTGACGCCAGTAGCACAGCCGATGCGGAGGACTCCGTTCAGCATGAGATCAAAGTTGGAAGAAAAGATTAAAGAACTCATTGAACTAGACATTATTGAACCTGCACAGGGGCCCACACCATGGGTTAACCCAATTGTTGTTGTCCCAAAATCTGGGGGTGACATCCGTCTTTGCATTGACATGCGAAGGGCTAACAAAGCAATACGAAGAGCCAGACACCCGATCCCTACTGTTGATGAGATTACTCAGAGCATAAGTGGCAGCAAGGTATTCTCCAAACTTGACCTTAAGTGGGGATATCACCAGCTTGAGCTTTCCCCAGAATCCCGAGAGATTACTACGTTTGCTACCCACTGCGGTCTGTTCAGATACAAGAGACTATTGTTTGGTGTTAACTCTGCTTCTGAACAGTACCAGTACGAGATCCAGACGGCACTTGCGGGTATAGAAGGGCAAGAGAACATTTCAGATGACATCATCATACATGGTAGAGACCAGAAAGAGCACGATTTGCGGTTGGAGAAAGTAATTGTGAGATTAAAGGAACGTGGACTGACCCTCAATGCAGAAAAGTGCCAGTTTAGCATGGATAAACTCACATTCTTTGGCATGGTATTGTCCGGGAACGGGATCAGTTGCACAGAAGAAAAGGTGAAAGCCGTGAAAGAGGCACGAGAACCTCGAACGGTATCAGAAACCCGAAGTTTTCTTGGGCTTGTAAACTACTGTGGCCGCTTCATACCCGACCTGGCAACGGTATCTGAGCCCTTACGTCGCCTGACAAAGTCAGGGACCCCTTTCGTGTTTGGAGGTGAACAGAAGAAGGCGTTTCAGGAGCTAAAAGAGCGATTGACCTGTGCTGAGACTTTGGGGTACTTCGACAAAGATGCCCCAACCCAAGTGATTGCTGATGCCAGCCCTGTTGGACTGGGAGCGGTACTGACCCAAAAGCAGAAGAATGGACCGAGAGTCATCTGCTATGCAAGTCGTAGTCTGACAGACACCGAGAGAAGATATTCGCAGACAGAGAAAGAGGCCCTGGCACTCGTATGGGCCTGCGAAAAGTTCCATCCCTATGTGTATGGTGTGCCATTTGATCTTGTTACGGATCACAAGCCGCTGGAAGTTATTTACGGCCCAAGGTCAAAACCCTGCGCACGCATTGAAAGATGGGTGTTACGAATGCAGCCATACAAATTCAAGGTCAAGTATGAGCCTGGGCCGAGCAACATTGCTGACCCCCTCTCAAGGCTAGTGGGAAATCTAAAAACCAGCAGCAGTCACTCAGCTGAAGCCGAGGAATATGTCAGATTTGTAGCCATAAATGCGACCCCCTGTGCTATGACTACACGAGAAGTGGAAGAAGCCTCAGCAATCGATGAAGAACTCTGTGCAGTCAAGGAATGCCTAAACGGAAAACCGTGGGACCAGCTAGCCTACAAGAAATACCTCCCATGTAGTAGTGAACTGTGCAGCATTGGACAATTGATACTAAGAGGAACAAGAATCGTTATCCCGAAGAAACTCAGACCCAGGGTGTTGTCTCTCGCTCACGAAGGTCATCTGGGCATCGTTGGAACTAAACAGAAGTTGCGCAGTAAAGTGTGGTGGCCCGGGATGGAAAAGGATGCTGAAAAACACTGTAAAACCTGCTATGGATGTCAGTTAGTCAGCCGTCCCAGCCCACCAGAGCCTATCAGGAGCACAGCATTGCCGACTGGACCATGGAGAGATTTGGCAATTGATTTGCTCGGACCACTTCCCACTGGTGAGTCCATTCTGGTCGTCGTTGACTACTATAGTCGCTACTACGAGATAGACATCATGAGATCCACAGTTGCCTCTAAAGTCATCTCGAGTCTGGAAGAGATATTTGCAAGACATGGTCTACCTGAGAGCTTGACATCTGACAATGGACCACAGTTCGTAGCAACAGAGTTTACAGAGTACATGGAGCAGCAGGGAATCAGACACCACAGGGTAACAGCAAAATGGCCCCAGGCAAATGGAGAAGTTGAGCGCCAAAATAGCTCACTTCTGAAAAGGCTCCAAATCGCACATGCTCAAAAGAAGGACTGGAAGAAAGAGCTGAATGTTTATCTTGCAGCGTACAGAAGCTTACCTCACCCAACGACTGGTGTAAGCCCCGCCGAGCTGCTCTTCGGACGGAAAGTACGCACCAAGCTTCCTGAGCTGAGCGATGTACATGTCGAACAAGAAGTGCGTGATAGGGACAACGAACAGAAGAGTAAGAGCAAAGCGTACGCTGACATGCAAAGGAATGCGAGGTACTCAGAGGTACTTCCTGGAGATCAAGTGCTAGTGCAACAAGAGAGGAAAAATAAGCTCACAACCCGTTTTGAACCAAGTCCGTACACTGTGGTAAACAAGCACGGGAACAGCTTGATCGTGCAATCTCCAGGAGGAGCCCAATACTCCCGCAATACATCTCATGTAAAGAAACTGCTAGAGAATGGTGATACACATGATGATACACCAAGTGTACCGGAAGTGGTGGTGACCGGGGAGCCCCACAAGCAGGATAAACTGACCCCGCAGCAGAGTGTGGTGATACCGGAACCAAATGTTATTGAGCCTGAAGTTCCACTTAGGAGGTCCCAGAGACACAGAGTGGCCCCAAGTTATCTCAAAGACTATTGTACTTAAACTTTAGAGACACTGAATTCTCACAGACATTGTTGACATTGTTGCTAGTCCATGTTTATGTTTATTGGACCAATTATTATTTTGTTTCTACTTCTGCTAAATGTTATTGTTCGCTATCTAAATGGGGAGGGATGTTGTGTATTAGGACCCAGACTCCCTCTCGGTAGGACATTGTAACGCCTGACTAGGGAATCAGGAGCCACGAGTCGTGTAGGCGAAATAAAGCCATCGTCCAAGGTTGAATCCGTTGTAATCTTCCATTATTTGCCGACCAGATCGGTCACAACAGGCTCTTGCACCCAAACTCGCTGCTCAGTCAACGGAAACTTCAATAAGTGAAAGTATCACTAAAGGACCAGCTTTTACAAACTATGATAAACCTTATTGGAAAATAAACATCTTATGCAGCTTATCTTTGAGTAATAATGATATTGATTAAATCCAGTACAACCAAGGCTCACTAGTTTGTTTGATCTGAGCTCACTGAGTCACGAGATGTCCAAGAAAAGCATCGAACCATGAAATCATAACTAACGTAAACAAATTTAAAATTCAAAATATAATTTCTAAAAAAAGGATGTTAGAGCAGTTTAAGTGAGATAGAGATTAACACACAGATTTAGCCAGGGCTAAAATCGAAGCTCTCGTTAATATACTTATGTTTACTCAAACAAAAAATGAAATTGTCAATGTGTAATGCTAAATGACGACGGCAAAGAGAACGGCAATACAAACAGACAATAGGTCTCTAATCGTCTAAAAAAAAACAACAACTTTGCACGTGCAACCCACATTTTTGTACATTTTTTTGCTGTTGTTTTTCACGACTACAACGTGAAACTTCCTAGTTAGGCATCGTCCACACGTATCCAGATATTTTTGAACCCGCCACTGTTTCTTTCGGGATTCAAAACTTTCCATATCCACACGTATCCATATTCAAATTAAATTTGCCCATCCACCAATACAGTACCCAGGACTCCTCTGGGAATATTAGCTACAGACCATGCGTCGAAAGGTGCGCGAAATTTGCATCTTTCTCTGCCTTGTGTAACGAACCTCTATTTCATTGTTAGAGTTGTAGCAGAATCAGTCCAGAAATCAAAGAAAATGCGAAGAGCAATGTTGACTCCTTTATCTGGACGGGTAAGAGAGAGAACCTGGAAACGAGGTTGTCGTCTTGAATACAGTATTCAGTATTTTCTCACTGCCGCTGAAAAATTTCCATGTTTTTCTTCCAACGAAATTCGTCTCCTTTGTTTTTTATCTCTCGCTCTAGTTCTTTCTTTGCTAACCACGTCAGTGTAGACACTAATATTAGTGTTTCGCGCGCGAGAGACCTCCGCTAGTAAAATCCCTCGCGCGCCTTGTTCTCTCTTGCGCTTATTACTTCCAAGCGCCTGCTAAGCAGGATACGTTCTTATTGAATTTCTGAGCTTTTGAGTACCGCGACCTTGTTGACATAAAAACATGCAAAATGACGGCCGAGAAAACTTAGAGTCACCCAAGCGACATAAGTGACTTATCTTTTGAGTTTTTGCTATTTGAATAGTCCTTGTATAAGAATAAGTAATAATTTTAATGCTAATGGCCTATTGATAGATGCAAACTGCCTGGTTTCATAGCACAACTCAATGGCAGGTGTTTCAGAAAACTTCCGGTGGCTATATTGGTGCCCCTCAGAGGCCAGAGGGACACCAACATTACACACGCAACCCATGCTCAGTATAAGAGTTTGATCTGAATTATCATATTGCGCAATCCTCAAATGGCCGAGAACATAAAGGACTTGTATGACCTGTATGGGAATCCAGGTAAGAGATTCAAGGCGATAAATAACTCAATGGAATTTTCAATGAAAAAACGCTCTTCCTTATTAACCTGGTTTGTTCTTGCTTCCTGTGTGGTTATTTTCCCGATCCGCTGCGATTTAAGCCATGGATACTCGGGGGGAAAGGAAATCGCTTGCAAAAGCTAAGAAAGTATGTTTTACATTTCCGTAGGCATATATTAAAGAGTATTTTACAGAGTAATTAAGAGACTGTTTTAAGTTTATTGGTATGGCTGGTGACTGCAGAGCAGGTTATAGACCGCGAGCGGTCGTCTTTCTTCGAGTCAGAGTCACGCGCGGCGTGTAAAAAAGTAACATTATGCACTGACCGCTCTCCCCTCACGCGTGCCCTCTATCTACTGAGTCTCCAAGAGAAATAAGAGTCTGCTCGAAGTCTAAGCAGGTTAAAGACCCGGGGGGGGGGGGGGTCCACAAAAAGGTTTATAGGGGGGGGCCGCGCCCCGGGGGC